GATTAGACAAGGATCAAATGCACACTAAAAATTCTCGATTATGAAAAAATCATTGGTAATTTGTTCGGAATTTAGAGTGAATTCACTGATAGTTCCTAAGTGATTACCTGAGTGCTGCTTTATATGGCCGCAAACAATAAAAAGAATCCGCACATGCCTCATAAGCAAGATCGCCATAACTCAGTTCAGAATAACCCTTCCTGAAAAAAAAATCTGAATTCGTTTTTTTCAGTTATCCACAGAAATTTGAAAGATTTATTCAGCTGCAGAATTAAACTTCAAACGGCAGAATAAATTTTTTCGTTCAATAAATGAGAGAACGATATTTCATTTTTCCGTTGTTTTTTAAGCATTCGTTGGATTTCAGCAACGACCAATAGTGCATCTCTTTGAAATGCGCAAATTATGGAATATGATACTTGTGCGCATTTCGTACGATTCATCGTCGTTTGAACGCAATCGCCATTCACTCAACGAAAATGTTTGGCGAATTTATGAAGTCGATGTAAACAAAACGCTTCATCGTCAAACGAATTCAAAACGTACGATTCATCGTCGAACGAAATATCAAACGTGATGAAGGCAGAGAACAAAACTTACGACGCACATAAATATTGTGATGCATGAACCAGCTTCAACATACAGATATTATTGAGGAAACCGAACACGAAAACCATCACAAATGCTGTCTGAAAGATGAATGTTTTGTGAAATTTCAATCGTTTATCATGGAATTCAACCAACCACTGATTACAGAAATCCTTCGCATATGACACCTTCTCCAACAAATTCTTTTCTTTAAACAATAACATTCAACGATTGATCTAGACAGGTTAAGGATTAATCAAGGGAATCGCGAAAAAGCTAACCAATAAGCCAGCTTGTTTGAACGCAAGAGGAATCGACAGGCATCCTGGACCAAGCATTCCTTTCACAAAACTCAACAGAGCACCAGTGCCACTGAAATATGAATGGCGATAACGGAATCTTACGGCAACAGTTCTGCGTGAATCTCGAAATTTGATAAGTCTCAGTGATTTCAAATATAGTGACAAACAACGGCATCGATGGCAACGATGGTGATAGCCACATTGATGTGTTAAAACCACTGAATTGATGCTAGCCAAGATAAACATATTGGTATGGCCAAGTGAACCAGCCACGCTCTCAACCACTATTGCTGCTGTAAACACGTCGAATAATCCATAGTAGCAGTTCTAGAACTTACGTTATTCCATTTTTGCGTCCTTCGACAGCGTCTGATCCCGCGTTTGATCGAACCGAAGCCGTCGATTCTGAGGGCTTCATTGATGCGACATCAACAATGGGATCGAGCTGACCATCGTACTCAGTGAATACCATCTGCAGATGTCACAGCGTCGTTATGAATGCATTACGAAAACGTTGAATGAATCCACTATCACGTGACAGTTTAACGACTTCATTCGCTTAACACGACTTCATTCACAGGTTTGTGTAAGTGGGAATGTGAGATATATGGAAGCAGACTTATCGGATATGTCAGAATAACATATCAATTATGGTTCCATTCATGAGCTAAATAAACTCTCAAATGGAAAAGAAATTTTTAGGTATTACTGTTATTGTTGATCATTTAGGTGATTCAAGTTCAACAACATCTTTTGACTCATTAACGACTTGCTGTGACCTAACAAGCGATCCTATCACAGAGCAAACAATGCTCCAGCAATATGCTTCCCGTATTTCCAAAAGGCAATTCAAAATCCGTTTCCCAGCCGGAAATTCAATACGCTGAGAGCAAATCAGTGAATTCATTCTTACTGATCGTGAATTCATTTCAATAGTTCACTGAAGGGATCAACTTACAGATATGTTTTTTTAAATACTGGCCTAGAGATGTTGGTTTCACTCTCTCGAAAGCATAGTTTTTGCCTTACTTCATTCACTGTT